CATGCCATTGTAGTTGCTGCCGGTATGTGGACTCCAGTTACCATGGAGGTTGATACTCGTGCAGCTGTAAGATCTGTCTTTGACAAGATTTGCTTGGGACTCCAACCTTTGAATTTGTGCAAGACCTCAGCCAGACTGAGAACCTATACTGGGGAACCATTGCAAATTGAGGGTACGACTTTGGTTCCAGTCTCCTATGAGAAGCAGTTGGTGCAGTTACCACTGATTGTAGTAAGAGTCTTGGGCCCAAGTCAATCGGGGCAGTATTGGTTGAGAAAGATTCACCTTGTTTGGCTCAACATTTTTCGATTGGAAAATGGTTGCTTGAGTGAGGCCGTAGTGAAATATCCGGGAGTTTTTCAAGGAGGGCATGGGATTATCAAAGGGGCCAAAGCCACTTTATATGTTGACCAGGATGCAATTCTGACATTTTGCAAGGCTCGCCCAGTGCTATAAATACAGGTGGAAATCAGGAATCCGAAGAGCGAAGGAATCATCAAATCAGTGCAGTTTGCAGAATGGGCAGCAGCAGCCCTACCGATTGTGAAGCCTGACGGCTCAGTTCGCCATTGTGGTGATTTTAAGCAAATGGTAAACCGCTTCTGGCAGCTAGATAAATACCTAATCCCTCGCATAGAAGACTTATATGCAAAGTTGTCTGGGGGGGTGGGTGTTGTCCTTTACGAAGCTGGACATAAGTCACCCCTACCTGCAATTGTGACTGGATGACAAGTCCCAGAAGTATGCTACAATTAATACCCATAAGAGTTTATATCAATACACAAGACTGGCATTGGGTATCATCAGGCTGCACTCTTTTCCAGCGGACCACGGAAAACATTTCACAAGAGATACCTCGGGTTGCCATTTATAAGGGATGATGATTGAGAAGCTGCGAGCATCGTTCATGACACACAGACTCCTGGAAGTATTGGTCACAGACAATGGGACGTCAATTGCCAGCAGGGAATTCGAATATTTCCTCAAGTCAGATGGCATTTGGCACATAAGGACAGCTCCATACCACCTGCCGTCCAATCGTCTAGTGGAAAGAGCGGTCCGAACATTGAAGGCAGACTTAAAGAAGCAGCCTACAGTGTCAATTGAGACCAAACTGTCCCAGTTCCTGTTTGATTATAGGACCACCTGACATGCAACAGCAGGTATTGCTCTAGTGGAGTTCCTGATGGGGAGAAGACTCTGTGCCAGGTTAAACCTGATATTTCCAGACCTGGGAGGGAGGTTGAAAGAGCAGCAGGATGAAGTTTGGTGCTGGAACCATAGAAATGGCCCAGTATGGGTAAGAGGTGAGGTTGACACGAGGTCAGGCCCCGTGACTTACAAAGTTTGGGTAGGTGATACAGACCAGAGCAAATTCGTGGATCACCTGAAAGCTGTTATCTCACAAACGGGGCAGGAGCAAAGCATGCCTGGCCCCTCAGAACTGCCGGAAGGCCTGGCCGAAACCGCAGGTGCTCCTCCTCCATCTAGCGTTGAGGAAACCTCAGAGTCTGAAATGGATGCAGCCTCGATACCCTTACAGCCGGAAGAGTCTCCTCCTCTTCTTCCAAGATGTACCGGACGCAAGAGATGGGTCATGGCCCGGTCCACGCTGCCTGTGTCTGAGTCCATGTCAGAGGAATTGGACCTGGGGCAAAAGCATTGCAAAACAATCTACATACGAAAGATCAGGCCTACATTCCTGGACTTAGGGGGAGGAGGATGTAGTGATTGGGACCAGGTTGACCTTGTAAACTAAGAGGTTCTTGATTGGGGGTTGTTAACCTGGGCCAATCAGGGAAGCCTTGGCTGATCAATATGACCACAAGATTAGAATCTCTCAGTTGAGAATTGACTCTGAGCTGGCTGGCCACGGCCAGTGCATGGTGCACTCGCAAATAATGGGTGACTTGGTGACGCGACCCAGCCTCTGTGCAGTTATTTCACAACCTCTTCACATTTACCCTGTCACACCCTTAAAAATATTAAAAATAAAGTTCCTTTCATTCTTCTAAACTAATTACATCCTCAGGAAAGTCACAACAGGTGAATCCAGGACTTCCCATGTGCCATAGGATGCATATTCCACTTGGCTGAGCTGTTCGGTTACTCACTTTACAGATGTTTTATTATATGTCGAGTAACTTGTTAGTTACTCACCAGTCAGCTTCTTCCACTGTGCCACAGGAAGAACCAAAGACTGGAGTGTGAAAAAGGTGGAGAAATAAAGGAGCCCTTCTATCAAACAACTCCCTCACTCACCAAATTTCCAGTTTCTTACTCAGTCCAAGTTACATTCTATTGTTAACTGTACCTGGATTGCTGTGTTTCTGATGAAGAGCTGTACTACAGACACCAGATTAAACTAGGTCAGAGCAAATTACTGCAAATGCTGGAACCTGTACCAAAACAACAAATGCTGGAGATCACAACGAGTCAGACAGTACCCATGGAGAGCAAACGAATATTTAGAGTCTAGATGACTCTTCATCAGAGCCAAAGTGAAGTGTGGAGGGGGGCAGCATTTATGCTATAGTTGGGGGTGGCGTGAAGGGGGTTGGTGGGAGCGTATGTGGCGATGGTGAGGTATAGAGTGCTGGTGGAGATAAGATGTTGATTGTTCGGATTAAGTGATTGTAATGTGAGAATGGCAGAACAATGGTGTGTCTAACTGCCAAACTTGAAAGAGAAGACAGTCCCACTGGGGTGGGGGGAGGGGAGAGAAGGGATGGTGACAAAGAATGTAACAGGTAAAGCTAAAAGAAAGGGAAGGAATGGGAGAATGTAACAACTAAAGCTAAAAGAAATGGGAGTTGGTTCACAATTTGAAGGTGTTGAACTCAATATTAATTCCAGAAGGCTGTAAAGTGCTGAGCCTGAAGATGATATATTGTTCCTCCAGTTTGCACTGTGATTCACTGGAGCACTGCAGCATGCTGAAGACAGACATGCGGTCATGCGAGCACGATGCTGTGTTGAAACGACCGGCTACAGGAAGGTCAGGGTCATGCTTGCACTCAGACCAGAGGTGTCTTGCAAAGCGGTCACCTAGTCTGTGTTTAGTTTCTCCAACATAGAGTAGGCCACATCGGTGCAGCAAATACAATACACAGGATTGGAGGTGGTGCAGGTGAAATGTAGACCATATCATGTAGACTGTATCAAATGCATTGTTCTCATCAACCCCTTCTGAGGTTACTTGGGAAGGTGCCTTGCGTAGGGGTTTGGTGTTGGTGGTCGTGGAATGGACTAGGGTGTCCTGGAGGGAATGATCCCTGTGTAATACAGACAAGGGAGACTGAGGGGAAGATGTGTTTGATGGTGGCCTTCTGCTGGAGTTATCTGAAATGGTGGAGAATGATCCTTTGAATGTGGAGGCCACTGGGATGAAAAGTGAGCACAAGTGGGACTCGATCAGGCTGTTGTGAGTGATGGGAAGGGGCAAGGGTGGAAGCATGTGTGATAGGTCAGATACATTTGAGGGCCCTCTTAACCACAGCGGGTGGGAAACCACGGTTATGGATGAAGCAAGCCATGTCAGCAGCGCTGTTTTGGAAGGTGGCATCATCTGAAGAGATGCACATTGGCAAAGGAACTGGGAGAATGGGATGGAGTTCTTGCAGGATGTGGGATGTGAAGAGCTGTAGTGAAGGTGGCTATGGGAGTCAGTGGCTTTGTAGTGGATGGCAGTGGACATTTTATTCCCTGAAATGGAGACAAAGAGATCAAGGAAAGGAAGGGAAGTATCTGAAATGGATGATGTGAAAGTTATAGCGGGGTGGAAATTGGAGGCAAAATGAACAAATTTTTCAAGGTCCTGGCGGGAGCATGAAGTGGTACTGAAGCAGTCGTCAATATACCAAAAAATAAAGAGTTGTGGGAGGGGCCGGTTGTGGGACTGGAACAGGGATTGTTCCACCTACCCTATAAAAAGGCAGGCATAACTGGTACCCATGTGGGTGACCATAGACACTCCTTTGACTTGGCAGAAATGAGATGAATTAATCTAGCTAACTAATTGCAGCTGCTGTTAAGCTGAGATATTGTTCATCCTGTCTGAGGATTAAGTAAAGAACTGCTAAATGAAGACAAGACTAGATGTTTAGAAAAAGATTGACCTTCAAGATGACCTCATTCACCAAACTCCCAGCTTTTTATTCAGTGCAAGCTATTCTCCACTAGTGCTGGTGGAGAGTCATTCCTACTGCTGAATGTACAAGGGCAACAAAGGGTGTTAGTTGGAGTGTTTGTGTAGAAAATGGCATCTAGCTGGGATAGCACCAGAAATTGAGATATACCACAATTGCTCTTTTGGATCCAAAACAGCACGCATAGCACCAGAAGCATGTGCTTCTCAACCAGATTTTACCAATTTCTTTCCCTTTTGTGACAATTTGACTTGGGCTGAATATGACAAGATTATTTGAAGTTGGAAACTCATTTGATCTTGAGTTTGGTTTTAGATCACACGTCTGCAGCATTTTTCAATTTAAATTTGTCTCTTTCCTAGACATTTTTGATGTTATTATCTCTGCTGAATATAGGACAGCTTCACAACAGCATTGTCTTGAGAAGCTACACAGAGCTAATTCTGTAACTGTTAAAAAAACCAAAAGAACTGCAGATGCTGTAAGTTAGAAACAAAAACAGAAGTTGCTGGAAAAGCTCAGCAGGTCTGGCATCATCTGTGAAGACAAATCAGAGTTAACATTTCAGGTCCGGTGACCCTTCCTCAGAACAAGACCCGAAATGTTAACTCTGATTTGTCTTCACAGATGCTGCCAGATCTGTAACTGTTGTATTCTCTCTGGCTTGGTCCTTTGCTATGCTGTTGTGCAGACCAAAGATGTTTGAACTATTGACTTTGCTATGTCATCTCTGCCACAGGTGGACTGATTTCTTTAATTAAAACTGCTTGAAGCCGAATCAGAAGCAAAATAGTCTGAACTGATAATTTTCTTTCACTTAAAACAGATTTGTGCTTTTATTTTCTTTTTCAGGTTGGTTTTCACAGGTCCATTGAGTCATTATTTTTACCACTATCTGGATAAACTGATACCATCCAATGTTCCCTATTCTCAGATCAAGAGACTTCTGCTGGATCGTCTGATGTTTGCTCCATTATTCCTTGCTCTTTTTTTTGTGGTTATCAGTCTACTTGAGGTGGGTCTTAGTGAGCACATAAGGCCAAAACAATTATCTTGGGATAGCTGTCATGGGTGGCTGACAGAAAGTTAATATGAGGTTAAGAAAGAGATGGCAGGTTTATGAAATCTGTGACAGATAGTTTACAGTGCTGACGTTTTAAATGGTGCAATTGTGGGCTCTGAAAGAGAATGCAGCGCTGGTGTATTCTGGTAAGATGGAATTATTAGAGTTTTGGGAGGCCCAGAAAAATGAACATAACGTTGTTTTTTATTTAAAGTAAAATTTTAATAAATCTTTAGTGGAATAATAATGCTAACTTGCTCATTTTCTTAACATTCAGCTTTGTTCCTCTATCCAGATCTCTCGCAGAAGCTGCAAATGTTATGTAAATTCTTCCTACTGTATTTCATATTCTTTCAATTTCTATTATAACAATAATATATATACCAAAACAATGTTTTAATACTTTTTAACATCCGCAAGCACCTTATGGCATATCCATAGTTCCAGACAGACAAAACCTTGACTTGACAACTTGGTGTAAAGCAGGATAGATTAATTAATCTAGAAAGAACAAAATCCTGTTTAGAGATCACTTTGATTAACTATCTGATCCATTAAACCTTGAAAAAAGAACTGTGGATCTTAACCAATAAATCTGTTTTCCTGTTGTAACACCATTCCTCATAGTCTAGAAGGTGTTTACAACACAGAAGAAGGCTCATTGTGTCTATGCCAGTCAGCAGAGATCTGACTATAATAATCCCATTCTCCAGCTCTTGGCTCACGGCCATGGAGACTATGGCAACACAAACTAATATCTTATTAATACTGCTTAATTGTTGTGAACGTTTCTGACTCAACAATGCCTTCCAGGCAGTAAAAACAGACTCCCATCACCCTCTGGTTGAGAAATCTTCCCCTCAACTCTCCTTTTAGTTTCCAACTCTTTCCTTAAATCTATGCCTGTTGGTTATTGACCTCAAAGTGACTTCCTAACCACCCTATCCATGCCCCTCATAATTGTAGACATCTCTAACAGGTCCCCTCTCAACCTTTGCTGATCCAAGGAAAAATCCCAGTCAATCCAATCTTTCTTCATAGCTCAGACTGTCCAAGCCAGGCAACATCCTGGTGAACCCTCTCTTGTGCAATCAACTTCTTCCTGCATTGTGGTGATCAGACTGCTGACAGTCCTACAGTTGTGGCCTAACCAGTGTTTTATGCAGTTCTAGCTTAACCTCCCTGCCCTTGTGGTCTATACCTTGGCTAATAAAGGCAAATATCCCATATACCACCTTGATCATCTTATCTACCCCTCTGCTACTTTCAGGGATCTGTGGATATGAATACCAATGTTTTTCTGGTCTTCAGTACTTCCGAGGGTTCTACCATTTGTCCCTTGCCTTGTTTGCCCTTCCCTTGCATGCTTAATGGATTCAACATCATTTGCTACTGCTTTGCCCACCTGAGCAGTCACTGATATCCTCCTGCAGTCTATGGCTACAATTCTCACCATTTACTACCTCACTAATTTTCATGTCATCACTGAACTCCTTGATTGTATGCTGTACATTTAAATCCAAATCATTAATGTACATCACAAACAGCAAGGGCCCCAGCTCTGAACTCTGTAGAACCCCACTGGAAACAAATTTCTGGTCACAGAAATGTCTGTCAAACTATATATCACCAATTTTGGATCCAATTGCCTTAGATCCCATGGATTCTTACTTTCTTGCCATGAAAGACCTTGTCAAAAGCCTTGCTAAAGTCCATTTAGACCATATCAAATGCATTATTCTCATCAGAACTCCTGGCAACCTCCTCAAAGATTTTGATCAAATTTGAGAAACACAACCTTCACCTAACAAACAAAAACTGGAATTGCTGGAGAAATTCACCCTTTTTCAGAAGTGTTCTTCACTACAATATTAAGGAAATACTGGAGGTGCTCTCCAGATTTGACATTAAGCTAAGGTTTGATCTGTCTGTTTTGGTGATATGGGTGGGCATTGAAAATTCCATGGTACACTCCTACTTTCTAACCAGTCCTAACTGTGGGTCATTGATTCCATGTGTGGCTACAGATCAAAAGTCACTCATATAAAAAAATTCATTTTATGAAGTGCTTTGAGATGGTTTGTCTGCATTTTAATTAGCGATGCTGAGAAATTTTACACACTAAAATGACCAAAAATGTTGTTTGTAATAGGGGAGTAACTTGAAGTCATTGAAGGACAAGATGAAGACTGGATACTGGACAGCACTAAAAATGAATTGGAAAGTTTGGACAATCTTCCAGTTCATTAACATTAATTATGTGCCTGCACAGGTAAAATATGTTTGGTTGCAAAGGCTAATATGATTGTTTCTAAACTGATGCAACATGTACATGTTTTGCCCTGATTATTGAACTCTGGCCAATACATTAAAATAGCAACAACCATTTCCAAGGTATGTCTGTGAAATATTGCAAACTACCAAGCATGAATCAACACAGTTGCTCAAACAATGGGTAACATGCAGTAATGAACCCCATATTCATCAAGGTAAAAAGCATTCAAGTTACAATAACAAATATACAAACTCTGTCACTGTGATAACCCCTACAAGGCCCATCGGGAATCACTAATTCATCTTCCTGTGGGGCTTGTTGAATATGAGTTCCCTTGGTAACAGGCAGTGGCCTGTCCAGCTAGAACTCATCGGTGGCAGTGACCCTGTCCCTGGACTGGGAGGCTGAGCTCCAATTCCCACCTGTTCCAGAGGTGTGTTATAACAACTCTGAACATGTTGATCAGAAAAATAAGTTAAATTAAAAAAGCAGACCCTCTTCTGTAGTTATGTTCAAGCCTAGGTGTCTTTGGAGAAGGAGCACGTGGTGTGCATCAATGCTGTTGATGTCTTGAGAGAGAGATGGGCACCATGGGGAAATACAGTACTTTATTTCCCTCTCCAACTCCATTTTGATTGAATTCCTTCCCACTGTCCCTCTCCACCCTCTCATCTTTGTTGGTTTGCTTTGCTTGTAAGTATTCAATTGGCTGCACAGATGATTTACTGATGGTGGTTAATAGTTTAAAAAGAAGCGCACCCCTTGTCCCTGTTCGCGGTTATACTTGTGCTCAGGTGTTCTTAGAGAGGGAGCGCACAATATCCATTCAGTGCTGTCGATGCCTTCAGGGAGAGGTGGGCATTGTGGGGGATATGGTACTTTATTTTACCCTCCAACTCCAGTTTGATTTAGTGCCTTCCTGCTCTCCCTATTTACCCCCTTCACCTTCGATGGTTTGCATTGCCCATAATGGGCTTTTCTTGTAAATATTTAATTGGCTACACGGGTGATTATTGGTGGTAGTTAAAAGGAAAAATGGAGGAAAAAAGTCATTGTGATTTTGGTGATGGGGAAGTCGCTCAGTTGTGTATAAAAGCACTTTGGAGTATAAAAACTGCAAACCCTTTGCTCTCTTCTGCGGTTATGTTCATGTCTGGATGTTCTTGGAGAGGGAACATGCGGTGTCCATCAATACTTTCGATGCCTTTGGAGAGAGGTGGGTACTGCAGGGAATTCAGTCTTTATTTCCCCTTCCAACTCCATTTTGATTTAATCCCTTCCCTCAATCCCAACCACACCCTCATTTTTGATGATTTGCATTGTTCATAATAGTCTTTGCTTGTAAATGTTTAATTGGCTACAAGGGTGATTACTAGTGGTAGTTAAAATGAAAAAAACAAAAAAAATCACAGTGATTTTGGTGGTGGGAAAGTTGCTCAGTTTTGAGTGATAGCACTTCTGGGTATAGAAAATCAAAAGTAAACTGACCCCTCATTGCCCGCAATGGGGTTTGCATGTAAATTTCTAATTGGCTATACTGGTGATTTTTGGTAATGGTTAATAGTTTAAACAAAAACAAAATAGAAAAGTCTCAATGATTTTGGTGATGGGAAAGTTGCTCAGTTGCGGCAATAAGAAAAGCAATAAAAATAAATTTAAAAATAAATCTGACCCCTTCCAGATATGAAAGAAAATGAAGCAGACCCCTTATTGATCGTAATGCATATAAATTTCTAATTGGCTACATAATGATGTACTGGTTAATAGTTAAAAACAAACAAAAAGTTATGGTGATTTGGTGGTGGGAAAGCTGTTTGGTTGTGTGTAAAAGCACTTCTGATATAAAAAAGCAGACCCTTCTGACTAGCCCCTTCCTGCACTTTTGATGGTTTGCATTGCCTATAATGAGCTTTGCATGTAAATATCCTGTTGACTGCACGGCTGATTTACTGGTGTTGGCCAGTAGTTGGAAAAATAATGTCACAGTGATTTGGAGGTGGAATGACCATTCAGTTGTGTGTAGGAGTGCTTCCAGATAGAAAAAAGAAGCAGACTCGTACTACCTGTAATGGGCTTTGCATGTAAATATCTAATTGCTTATACAGTTGATTTACTGGTGGCGTTTAATAGTCAAAAACAAAACAATGTCACAGTGATTTTATGATGGGAGAAAAATAATTCAGCTTTGTTTATATAGAAAGAGAAAAGACAAAAAAGTAATGCAGACATCCCATAGCCCATAAAGGGATTTGCATATATATATTTAATTGGATACACAAGTGATTTACTGGTGAAAGTTAGTAGTTAAAAACAAAAAAAAAATCATGGTGATGGAAATAAACTATTCAGTTGTGTGTAAGAACACTTCTGATTATAAAAAAATGCAGACCCAGACTCCATTTTGATCTAACCCCTTCCCACTTTCCCTACCTCTCCCTTACCTTTGATTTGCATTGCCCTTAATAGGCTTTGCATGTGAATTATTTGAATGAAAACATGGGTGACTTACTGGTGCTGGCTAATAGAAGAAAAAAAGCTACTGGTGATTAGATAATGAGAAGAAAAACATTCAGTTTTGTGCAAGAACACTTCTGGATAAAAATGGAAAAAATAAAACACACTCAGGGTTGCGTCTGTGTAACTGTCTGTCCTGGGCTGGGACTAGCCTATGTACGCTGCAAGTAGTGGCTCTATTTTGGTGTTCAAATGAAGTTCCTTTCTAGTCGGGTTTCCTGACTTATTACGTTGGCGACGAGGGTGGGATAAAGGGTATCACTGACTAAAAAGTAATTCTCGTTAGTGTTTGAGGGGCTCTGACTTTCAGCATCATAAGGTATTTAACCTACTTGCAGCCCCGGAGTCAAAATCTTTTGACAACTTGCTAGATGTAGTGGTGGAACACTGTGACCCCTAACCATCTGTTATATTGCATTGTTATGGGTTTAACACAGCAAACAGACTTCCTACAGAACAATGCGTAAATTCTTTATGAGACAGTGGAAATTGGCCGAACATTCTGAGTAAGGGTCCATACTCAGGAAATGTTAAGGGATCGCTTAGTTTGTGGAATTACTAATATCATGACCCAAAGGAAGCTACTGATCAAATAAGATCTAGATGTCAAGAAAGCCATAGAACTGGTACCTTCCCATGAAAATGCAGAAAAAGGGGTGCATGAACTTCAGGAGTCCATAGACGGTACCATCTTCAGCCTTGGAGTACCTCATACCACAGTGCCAAGTCCCCAGCAGACAATACTTGGAGCTTATGTTGGTTATTAGGGAAGAGGGATTGAAGTTGGAGGTTGCAAGGTTCCAAAAGTGGAGGAAAGTTTCTCCACAATACAGCAAGGATCAAGAATGTCTACGTCACACTTGAGTCATAAGGTCCACCCCGGCCAATGAAACAGGCAAAATGCATACTGCCCAAGCTGAAGCAGGAAGCCACTTTAAGACAGGACTTTGCAAATAAATCAGACCGAGAATATGGAATTGATGTAGCTAAGTTGCATCAATGCTCCCAGAATGGCCCCAATTAAGATAAAACTCCAGGTACGTGGCCACCCCTAGACATGGAAGTTGACACAGGTACTGCTGGATCTATTAAAAACCAAAAGAACTGCGGATGCTGTAAATCAGGAACAAAAATAGAAGTTGCTGGAAAAGCTCAGCAGGTCTGGCAGCATCGGCGAAGAGAAAATGAGAGTTAATGTTTCGGTTCCGGTGACCCTTCCTCGGAAAGGTCCGTTCTGAGGGTCACCGGACCCGAAACGTTAACTCTCATTTTCTCTTCACAGATGCTGCCAGACCTGATGAGCTTTTCCGGCAACTTCTGGTTTTGTTCCTGACGGATCCATTATTGTGAAGCAAACCTTTAGGGAAGTCTGTTGGGGAATCTTGCCTTTAAGCCTCTGAGACACCAAGGCTAGATTGGCCACATGCATGGGAAGCTCTTGCATGTTATTGGGACCACTAACCCCAGTAACACGTGGACAGCAGACAGTCCAACTCCCTTTAATGGTGGTGCAAGGGTCAGATCCCAATTTTCTGGGAAGGGACTGGCTGGAGAAAATCCACTTGGTTTGGCTATAGGTCTTTAAAATGAGTACTGGTGATCTATATGAAGTTATTAGGAAGTATCCCAAAGTGTTCCAAGAAGGTCTCGGGACGATAAAGGGCACCAGGGCCAAGATCCGTGTAGACCCAGATGCCCGGCCTAAGTACTTCAAGGGATGGTTGGTTCTGTATGCCCTATGTGCCAAAGCAAGGCTGAAGTGGAATGTCTAGAGGAAATTGGCATCATACTCTAAGTGCAGTTTGCTAAATGGGCTGTGCCAGTATTCCCAGTTATAAAACCTGACAACTTGGTCTGTCTCTCTGAGGATTATGAATTGACAGTCAACAGAATTTCCTGCTTAGACTGATACCTTCTGCCATGCATTGAAGACTTGTGGCTCTGGGGTGGGGGGGTGGTCACATTTTTAAAATTGAATATGAGTCAAGCCTACCTCCAATTGAATCTTGAAGAGTCATCCAGGAACTATGTTACTATAAGTATTCACAAAGGATTGTATGAGTACACTTGCTTGCATTTTGGGGTAACTTCAGTTTGTGCCAACTTTCAAACGGTAATGGAGAACATCCTCCAAGAAATTCCCAGAGTGTCAAACTATCTGGATAATGTTTTAATCTCAGAAGCTACTATAAAGGCACATGTAGAGAGACTGGAGGAAGTTGTGGGGCCTCTTCTGACGTTGGCATCCAGCTAAAAAGGTTGAAAAAATAGTGTGTTCCAGGTAAACGTAGTAACATACCTTGGGTACATCATTTTCATGGATGGATTATATCCTGTCAAAGAGATAGTGAAAGCTATATAAAGGGGTTCCAATTCCAAGCAATACAATTGAGCCAATGTTTTCCCTTGGTCTCAAAAGTTACTGGGTGCATATGTTCCATGCAAGAAACTTGAGGGACATTTCACCAGGGATTCTGGGAGTT